ACAAACATGGCAAAAAAAAGGTAATATCAGAATTTTAAAAATGTTCTTCACACACATGTTTAAGGCAGCTTTTGATGACAGTATAGTTTTAAATATTTAATGTCAAATGAAGATTATGTGAGCCTTAAAGTGAAGCAAAAATTAAAATTGTTCAATTTTTTTAACTGATTTTTTTTTACTTTGCAGTGGTCTTAGCCAAAAAACAGGGAACTGCTTGAAGTCTAAACAATAATTTCCCTCCCAGTACATGTACTCTCATTTTATCTAATTTACATCAAACTTTGACACAGTTATTTGAGATGTGTAATGAGTTTGCTGGTAAGACTGCATCAGTGTGGTACTGAGAGTAAATAATTTCCCCTTATTTGATACTTTACTTAGGTTGAGGATAAAGGAGATTACCCATCAATAGATGCTATGGACAACATTAGCATTGAACACTCAATGGACTGCATTTTAGAGGAGCCCAAGGTAATTATTGATGTTGCTCAACCCCCTGATACTGAGAAGCATGTTCATCAGTGGTTGGAGTATCTCCAAGGCAAAGACATCAAAAGTGGTTTATTCCAAGAAGAATCCTATTACACAATGGATTTATGGGACTTTGCAGGGCAGCACCTGTACTATGCCAGCCATCCTATCTTCTTATCACAGCGAGCACTGTACATATTGGTGCACAATCTCAGCAAGCCTTTGGATGCTACAGCTGAGCCCTGCATGAGACAAGGTAGTAATGATGTGAAATTGGAAAACCCTAACAATGAAACAAACATGGAGAATTTGCTGTCATGGCTGGCTACAGTACACAGTGTTGCCCTGGCAACTGATGACCCAGATGATGATGCACAACATAAGCTGCCCTACCTCCGTCCCCCAGTGTTTATTGTTGGAACACATGCTGACAAACCAGTTGAAGACATAGCAGTAATAAAGAAACAAATACAGGAGAGAATTTCTGGTATGGAATATGAGAAGCATGTGGTCAAACCCTTATTCTGCATTGACAACACTCAGAGGCCAAACTTGATCAAGAAATTTATCCAGAAGATTCAAAAGCAGAGAGGAAAACATAAAACAGGTGAGATATTTGATGTCATATTGTATCCTTGACAATGTGTTACTTGCAGTAATTGATGGTTTTATAATTGGTTACTAGCTTGTCTTTGCATCAATTCTTGGAACACTTAATTTGTGACCATTTTTTTGTTTAATCAAAGACCCATTTCTGACTCTCCATGGGAAAATGGACATTAATGCTTTTCATTTAAACTGCAAAACCGTTTACTATCTGCTTAAATCCATTTAAATGGTTCATGAAAGTGTTTAAACAATTTGCTCATCCATTTAAAAAAATTTGCATCCGTCTAACCCTTTTGCTAAAACATTTAAGCGCTGTGCTAGTCCATTTAAGAAATTTTGCGTCCGTTTAAGAAATTTTGTGTCCGTTTAAAAAAATGTAGCAAAAACGTTTAAACAGTTTCCTTCAGTTGTCTGTTTTAAAAAAAAATCTATCCGTTCAACGTTCCAGAGAAACTTTAAACTGTTTGTTTACCATTCTGTTATGAGCAGTTTGAAGTATCAATCCCACGTTTGGTTGATACTTGCCAGTTCTTGAAATGCAGGATGACCATATCTTATTTTGGTTTTATCTTTTCCATGATCATAGAAAGTGAGTAATTGTCCCATTCTTGGACAAACGAGTTAAAATATCCGGTTGTAGAAACGTAGAGCATCAAGAGCCAATGAAGCCATTCATTTGACTATGATACTGCCATCAATCTTGTTTGATCAGAACAGTGCACCTGATCTTTGTTTACATATTTGGAGAAGGAGAAGGAGGAGGAACTCTTATGAAAAAGCTATTGTTTCTTAATGTCAGTTCATCTACCCTGTCTATTTAGCAGGCTTAACAATTATCACAAATTCTCAGCAACTGGAAAGCTATTTTGTTGTGGTAAATTGATATCAATGTTTATAGATTGATGTAGATTGTTGGCAAGCATTGAGCATGCAATAATTATTATTTGACTTACATTTACATGTCATCCAGCAGTTGTGTTGTGTGTCATAATTTTAAAACGTTGGTAGACATGCAGAATGTTTAAGAGGGAGTGGTAATTAAGGGAAGGATACTGTCTTGGTTGAATGACTTCAGGCTTATAGTGCAAGCTTAAGTTAGAGTTGTTTAATTTTTTTATTAGCTGCAGTCTTCTTAGCTTTCAGTTACTTTATGTACCAGCATCACCATACTAGGCCATATACATTTTTGCTGACAGATCCATTAATTTCAGAGTTTGAAATAAGGAACAGAAGATGATTTGGGGAGTTGAAGAGTTTATCATCTTAGCTATGTTGTCAGCAATGAAATATCAGCAATCACAAATGTATGATACAAACTATTCTCATGGTAAACACATGTTTCTGTGTTACATTATGTTTTGCATTCATTTTCTAAACATATCCAGCAGAGGAAGAAGGAAAAGCAGATGGAATAAAAGAATTGCGGAACAAAATCCTGGAGGTGTTGAGGCAGGAGCCTTATATGGGGGAGAAAATACCTGTCAGGTAAATGAAAGTAACATTTTATTTGGCAAACCTCAATTTGTGGACTTTGGGATTAATGTTATTCATGTATTCAAGTGGTTATGAAAAGTTTTTTGAAGAGCAGTCAGTGTTTTCATTATTAATGTATATGAACACAAAAATATTGTACCTACCCTAGTTTGAAGTTCATCAAAAATAATTCTTAAAACATAAGACTGTACGAATACACAGCAGTCATATAAGTGCAAACAAATAAAACTCTTATTCATGACATCATGACAATATTGTGTTTTTTAGAAAGGTGTGAATGTCTGATGGATATTTGAGAAGGCACAGCTCTTTGAATTGAGATTGTTTATGTGAAAAATAGAACAATGTTTGAACTCTTGTAATGTGTGGAGAAAGCTAGACCAAGGAAATAGATGAATTACCACTGGAAGACTACAAATAAGCACATGTCTGACTGAAGTTAATATCCAATTTTAAACCCAAAAACATTTTAATTATTCTGTTGCCTTCTAGATGGTTTTTGTTTGAAAAGGTGATTGAAGCTTTGGTGGCTAAACAGATTTATCACAGAAATCTGCAACAACTTGAGCACTATGCAAAGAAAGATTGTTTCATGAAAGATGCAAAAGAGTTTGAGTCCATGATCAGTTTTTACCATGGCCTGGGGATGATAATCAAGCACCGCAGTACAGTTGTACTAAAGGCTCAGTGGTTGATTGATCTGTTCAAACAGCTGATAACCATTCCACCTTTCAATAAACAGGTAGGAAAGAAATTTCATTTTTGAAAGGACCTAACTCAGAAAATGTTCAATAATTTAGACCAACAGAAAATGAGAGTGATATTTTTTTTAAATAAATCAGCAACTAATGCAACAGCTGTAATTCTTTGATCTTTACAATTGTTGGACCTCAAATTATTTCACGTACCTTTTGCAGCTTTTCAGGTCATAAACTGATTTAGCCTTTTTGCTTTACAAGAGACTTGCAATAACTTGCCACCACTAACAATAATTGTAGTCACACAAGTGAACAGTTCTTTTTACTTGCGCTAAATGGCTTCTGCGGTGGTGAATAACAACTAATAATCACCTCTGAGGAGCCTAAGATACAAAATTGCACATTAAGAGTGTAATTTCCGACCATTTCGATACATTGATTTTGTAGTTCTTGTACATACGTGTTGAAAACATTCAAAAGGTACATTTAGTGGACTTCTCTTATCTGGAATTCCTCTTATTTATATATTTTGTAGAATGCTCGATATGCTAATTTCTGGCGGGAACTTGAAGGAAGTGGCATCCTTAGCATGGAACATGTTGATTACGTGTTCTCCAGCTTTATTGAGCCAGGAATCATTAGAGAAGACATCCTGGACATGATGGAGCAATTTGGTTTGATCGCTAAGTTCTCTGTTTCCCCAAATGAGGAGAAGTACTTTGTACCAGCTCAGTTGAAGTCATCACCTGATGAACTCTGTAAGATGAAACCATCATCAACTGATCCATGTCCATTGTATCTCCTCTTTGTCCATGGCTTTGTCCCCCATGGTCTCTTCTTCCAGCTTGTCTCGCGATCCATTCATTGGTGTTCAAAGACATGGGCCACACATCAACCCACTCTGTACCAAAATGGAGCATGGTTCATCATTGGAAAAGATATTCATGATTTTGTCCTCATATGCAAAACAGGGTTTGTGAAGGTAATCTTGAGAAAAAAAGCACAAAGTCATCAGGTTGTAGGACAGAACTCTGTCAAATTAGCAACTCTTGTTCGTGAATTTCTTGAAGACACCCTAAAGAATTTGTCACAAGAAATGCCATACCTGAGGGGAATGCAGTATAGGCTGTGTGTTGCATGTCCTAACTGCCATCAAGGGAAAGAAGAAATGCGTTGTGCATGCTCAGACCACATGAAAACCACTTGCACACACAAGAACTGCCTCCACCTCATTGATGCAAATGAAGGTCAGCCGGACATCTGTAAGCGAAAACCTTGGGATATGGTAGCACCAGTTTGTGGATTGAAGAAATGGTTCTTGAAAAGAAGCCAGGTATAATTACTGTAATGATCTTTCAAGCAAAGATTTCTAGCCTCAGTTTCATGTTTGCTTTGCTCCTCTAATTTACTTGATGTGAATATCAATTGGGCTGTTATCAGTGTTGAGAAAGGGAGCCCTGATAGGTTGTCTTCTGTTTAAAATATAAGTCAGAGAATTTGTAACAAGATGAAATTATTTTTGAATTCTATACTTTTTCGTTTTACTTTGGTAAAGTATTGATCAATTAAAATTTATATGACCACAACCAAAGTTTTTTCAATGTAGTTACCATAATCTTATATGACCCTTTTTTTCTTCAGGGTTTGTCCTCATCAAATGTAGCTACCAGATCACATGATAAAGCGAGTGTAATAAATCCAATGAAGTCTGCCACAGCATTGAAGGTGACTCTCCTGGGCAGTGAGTGGAGTTCGTCAATGGGGGGCTTGTCCACTATCAATAGACAGCTTGCCATTCTGTTGGCCAAACACTCTGAAGTGGATGTTACTCTCCTTGTCCCACAGTTTGCCTGTTCTGATGACGAGAGGAGAATGGCATCTAGTCACAATGTTTCTATCCAGGAAGCCGAGAAACTTGCAGGCTTCAGTGATCCTCTTGAATGGTTGAGTTTTCCACCAAGAGACCTTGACATTGACTTTGTGCTGGGTCATGGTGCAAAGCTTGGTAAGCAAGCCCAAGTTATCAGAAAGTATCACAGTTGCAAGTGGATTCAGGTGGTGCACACTGCACCCGAAGAACTAGGAATGTACAAAGACTATCCCATGGCCATTTCCAAAGGTGAAGATAAGAGAACAACTGAAGTGGAGTTGTGTAAGTTGGCAGATGCTGTGGTAGCAGTTGGACCAAAGTTGACAAAGGCATACTCTTCTTACTTGCGCTCATGTGAGAAGCACCAAGATATAATTCAACTGACACCAAGCACGTTCATTGAGTTTTCCGACGTTAAACAAGCTGCAGTTGATATGGACAACTTTAAGGTTCTAACGTTTGGCCGTGGTGACCCAGAGGACTTCAGCTTGAAGGGCTATGATATCTCTGCCAGAGCAATAGTTGAACTGAAAGACAGGTCTTATCATCTGACTTTCGTGGGTGCACCTGACGGTAAACAGGATGAGGTAGCAAAGAATTTACTCAAGAGTGGAATTGATAAAAAGCAGCTGGCTGTGAATAAATTTGTACAAAGTAAAGAGAGATTGAAAGAATTATTTTGTGAAGTAGATCTCTGCATCATGCCCTCTAGAACAGAGGGGTTTGGTTTGACGGCTTTAGAAGCATTGTCTGCTGGTCTTCCCATTCTTGTCAGTGGCAACTCAGGATTTGGTGAAGCACTGTGCACTGTACCATCAGGCAAATCATTCGTGGTGGAGTCTGAGGACCCTCAGGAGTGGGCAAAGGCAATTGCTGGTGTCCGACAGAAGGAAAGATCAGACCGACTTCAAGATATTCAACAGCTGAGGAGGTCATATGAAGAGAAGTTTAGCTGGGAGAAGCAGTGTGACAGTCTTGTGGAGAAGATGTGGGACATAGTTCATGGTGAGAATGTTTTGAATATCCTTCAAAAAGTATTTTGGGGGGCTACTCAGCCTTTGATCTCTTATTAACTGCGTTGAAAAGCATGAACACCTCATAAAAAAGATGTTAAACATGAATAGTAATCATTTGTGTTATCCTCTTGTTGATTACACTGTTATTAAAATAAAAGCTTCTTTCTATTTTTTAGCTTCTAAAAGACAAGACACAAGTTTCAGAGCTCAGCAGGTCAAAGTTGTTGACACGTCAACTGAACAACTAACAGTGGATTCATTACTGACTCCAAGTGAGTAAAAGAATTTAATAACACATAATAATTGATATCCCTAAAGAAGTACAGACAGGTTACAAGGAGATCGGGTAATTTTCTTTTCTTGACTTTTGACTTCAGGCCAGCCATGCTTCGTAAAAACTTAGCAAGGTACTTTTTACTTTTGAGACATGTTTTTACTTATACTCCTGTACTTTTCAGTCACAAACATAAGACATGTACAAACAAATTTGATTTTCTTTCACTTCCAGATCTGTATGGACGGCTTAGTGCTATTTATTTCTTTGAGTCATTTGAAGTTTTCACCCAATTGGAAACTACCATAAATTGTCTGAAACCAGGCCAGAAACAAAGAGACATGGGGAGCTCTTATTGTCCATATCAAAATCAGTTTATGTTCTATTCACAATACAGTTGTCTGTTGAAACAATATTGAAGTAGTCACATATTCATACAGTAGAGGAAATATGTCAGAAAATTTTTGAAGCCTGTACTTTTTTCCCAGGATTCCTCTTTCCAGTTACACAGATAAGTTAGAGTGTAGACCTCGTCATTAATTTTTCTTCTCTGCTTCTTCTTCTCTTGATTATTGGTGTATTCATTCACAGGCAGAAATCAAAGCTAAAAAGTAACTTAATTGACAGCTACAACTTCCTTTTTAAGGCTGAGTTGTTGGATAAAACAGCAGAAGTCTGGTGGTTTAGGCTCTTTTCTTTTTTACCCTAAAAGTTTCTCTTACTAGACTGAGAATTGTTAATTTCCAGCAGACAATTGTTTTGCTTTTTCCATGCAGTTAGATTAATAAAGACCTTTTATTTTTTAGGTTTTCTTGAACAAATCATCCAGGAACTTCAGCAGATGCAGCTGGATGCAAGCAAAGTCAAGAGTAGAACAGATCTATCATTGGGGCTGAGGAATATTGCATCAGACAGGGGCTTCAGAATATCTGACAATCAAGGATTAGGAAATTGCATGTTCCATGCCTTGTCTGAACAACTGGAAGTTGTTAAGGGAATCAAAATCCCACACGGTGAATTAAGACAAATCTTAGTTCAGTACCTCAGGGATAACCCAAAACTTGTAAGTTGATGTTAGTATGTCTAACAGAGTATGTCATGTGATGTTATTTAAAGAGTATGATAAAGGTTAAGAGATAACACAGGCCACTTGGCCAACACCACCATAATGTCAGGCAGTACAGACGACTCAAACAATATCGAGGGCTCAATGAACACAGTCTTTATTCCCGAGCTTGACCACGAGCACTTCGTGTTACAACAACAACCATAATTGGGGAGCCCGGATGTAGTTTCCCTCAGGGAGGGCCTAGGTACAAGTGACGGGCCAACATCCCCCCTTCTTTGAAAAAAAAGAAAAAAAAATTAATAGTAAATAGAACAGAGTAAAGTAGGCAGGTGTAGCCTTATATAAGGTTCTGTTCGGACTGTTATCATGGAAAGTTCTGCAACCGTGCTGTTATGCAGCGCGAACGTTTATGGCAGGCATTACTTGAGTTCAAAGTCTTTGAACCGAGTTGGTGGTTTGATGAGTCTTGTGCGTGTTCTCATTTCGGGTTGGTGATCCCTTGGCTGTTCTTGAATTGTAGCAAGGGGTGTGTTGATAGGCAGCTCACTTGGGCCCGTGGCTGGTGTGCTTGGTTCTTGTGGTTGTGGAGGGGAAGGGGTGTCGAGAACTGGGCCGCTGTTACTTTTGTCCAATGAGGGAGGTGGTTGCTGTGTAGGCTGATTAGTGGGCATATTCAGCTCTGATCCTAGACGATTGTAGTGATTTGCAAGGCTGTGGCCTGGTCTAGGCGTGAGCGTGGGTGGGGTGCACGGTGGTGTTTGGGGAGGAGGAGGTACTGCATGCCTGATGTGTATCCGATTTCGTCGAATGGTACTGTGGGGCGTTTGTATGGTGTAAGATCTTGAGTGGCGTTGTCCGGTGACACGGCCATATGCCCAAGGGTTGCCTGGTTTGCTTGTCGGTGGTCTTGCATACACAAATTCACCAATGTTGATGCTATTCTGCTCTGGGCCCGCAGTCTTGTCATAGTGAGCTTTACTGGTGTTGTGTTTGGCCTTGAGTTCTGCTGATACAGTGTCACGGTTGATTGACATGGGCTCGAGAAGGTGGTCAGCTGTTGGGAGCGTCGTTCGTGTCCGGCGGCTCACCATGCGTTGGGCAGAAGAGTAGGTGTGGTCTTTTGGTGGTGTGTTTCTGTAATTGAGCAAGGCGATTTGGAAGTCATCTGATTTCTTTAGCATAGACTTCGATACTTTCACTGCTGCCTCGGCTCGGCCGTTGCCCTGGGAGTGATAGGGACTTGAGGTGGTATGTTTGAACCCGTACTGAGAGGCAAAGTCCATGTAATCCTTACTGGTGAATTGTGGTCCGTTGTCTGTGTGGCAGATACGTGGAACGCCAAACCTGGCGAAATGAGCTTTGGTTTTGTTAATGACTGATGTTGCCAAAGTGTCGTCAAGTTCATCCACTTCGATCCAGTCAGAAAAATGGCACACTGTTACAAGGTAGGCTTTCTGTCTGTACTGGAAGATGTCTTGGCTGATGATCTGCCATGGTAGTGTTGGAATCGGAAGTGATCGCATAGGTTCCTTTGTTGACTTTGATCCATACTGTGCGCAGGTACTGCAGTTGTTGCACATATCAAACACTGCTTGTCTCATCCCGGGCCAGAATAGTACGTCTCGTGCCATGCGTACATTTGAGTCAGGACCAAAGTGGTTTGCATGGATTTTCAGCAGCATCTCAGCTTGCATGGACTGCGGTATCATAACTTGGGCGCCTTTGTAGATGAGGCCATTGTCAGTGGTTAGCTCGTCTCTGTAGGTCCAGTATGCTCGTAGTGGTTGTGGTAGCTGCTTTCTGTCATCCGGCCAGCCTTGGGCGATTGTGGCCATTAACTTGGAGAGGTGTTCATCCTTTTTGGTCTCGTCGCGTAGGCGAGATTCGGTGGTTTCTGTGAGGCGGGGGTTGTGGGTATCGGATTCCTCTGTGAGTTCAGTCCTGAATACTTCAAAGCCTGTGACCCTGGCATGTACTGGGGTAGGTAGTGCTGCTCTTGAGAGAGTGTCTGCCAGGTAGAGTGAGGTTCCTTTCTTGTATTGGATGGTGAAGCGGTATCTCTGCAGTCTCATTAGCATTTTCTGTAGCCGTGCTGGGGCTTTGTGCAGAGGTTTTTTGCAGATGGTCTCAAGTGGCTGGTGGTCGGTGTGAACTTCGATATCTGATTTGCCATAGAGCCAGTGGTCAAATTTTCCAAATGCGTTACAAATGGCCAAGCACTCTTTTTCGATTTGGGAGTATCGTTGTTCTGTTGCGTTGAGGCTGTTTGATGTGTATGCTATGGGTTGGAGACGTCCTTCACTATTGGGCTGAAGGAGGGCACCGCCCACGCCTTCTTCACTAGCGTCGACTTGAAGTGTGACCGGTTTACTGAGGTCATAGTATTGGAGCACTGGTGCAGTGGAGATGAGGTGTTTGGCTTTGTTAAATGCGTCATCTTGTGCTTGTGCCCACATAAAGGGGATATCTGACTTGGTGAGTTGGGTGAGAGGCCGGATGATGGTGCTGAGGTTTGGACAATAGGGTGAGAGATAGTTGGCCATTCCCACGAATCGCTGAACACCTGCTTTGTTTCGGGGTGGGGCCATTGCTGAGATTGCTGCTATCTTGTCTGGGTCTGCTTGCATTCCTCGATCAGTTATGACGTTGCCCATGAATTTGACTTGTTGTAGCTTGGACTGCAGTTTGCTCTGGTTTAATTTTATGTTCTTTTTGGAGCAGCGCTCTATAAGTGCGACAAGACGGCGGTCGTGGTCTTTCTCAGCTTCTTGGTAGGTTGTTCCTTCTCCGAACACAAGTATATCATCGGCGATGCATAATACTCCATCAAGACCCTCTAGAGCTGACATGAGGCGCTTTTGAAATTCCTCAGGAGCGCTTGATATGCCAAATGGGAGGCGGAGCCATCGGTATCTCCCATAAGACGTGTGCATTGTCGTCATCAGTGACGATTCTTCATCAAGTGGTACGTGTAGAAAGCCTTCTCTGACATCAACAAGTGAGAAACATTTGGCATGGCAGAGTTTATGGAGCTGTTCAGACAGTGTTGGCATTTGATACACTGGTCTGAGAATTCCTTTATTGACTGTTTGACTGGGGTCAATGCAGATTCTTGTCTTCTTTGGTGTCTCTTTAATGACTTCATTGGAGCACCACGAGGTGGGTTCCTCTACTTTCTTTATGATACCAGCTGCGGTGTATCTGTCAAGGGCTTCCTTTTCTTTCATGCGTTTTGCCACAGGGACTCGATGTATTGGCATTTGTACTGGTGAGACGTCAGCTTTTACTTCGAAATGAACTGGGGGTCCCAGGCAGCCAAGGCCTTCGAAGTTTTCAGGATACTGTGTTAGTATGTCTTCCTTGGTGAGGTTCCCGGGTGGGGCCAGGCGTCGTTTGGAAGGGATCATTATAGGTTTAGAAGGTGAGGGCGTTGCTGGGTCACCGTATGGGTTGGCACTGTCGGGTTGGTCAGGGTGGCGGCCTTTTACTCCCTTGAGTGTACCGTTGGCTTGAGCTGCTGGGTCGCCTGGGTCTGGATTGGTTTGTGGCGAGCTGGCTGGGTAGGTAGGGGCTCTCTTGCCTGACGAGTCTCTTACTGCTGATGTGAGTGAGAATATTTCGTGTGCCCTGATGGTGATGAGCCCCAGTGCCTCGCAGTCGGAGCCAGAGAGAAGGGCTGGTTTGTTCATCATGACATCCCTAGGAAGTATCTGGAATGTGAGCGATTCGTATCGTTTGTTTCTTTCGCACAGAAGGTCGATCTGCCCCAGTGGTTTCAGCGGCTGGGAGTCGCCATAGGGGTGTAGTAGGTAGGGTGACTTTCTAAGCTTCATGTTTGGCATCAGCCTGAAAAGGGTATCTTCAGACAAGGTATTGCAGGTGGCGGCGGTGTCTATTTGGAATGTCACTGGGGTGAATTTGTTCCCTGTTGCAGACATGGGCAGTGTAACAAAGTATTTTTTCTTTGCGTGGGTGGTGTGGATACTGTGTATTTGCCGTGTTTCCAGGGAGTAGCACTGTTCTTGGTAGTCATCAGTGTAGTACTCCACAGGGTGTTGGTCATTTGTCATCTGCAGCATATGTACGTTTTGTTCACGAGGGGGTTTTGGTTGGGACCGGCCGCGAGGTGCTCTGTGGCCTCGCCCCCTACCCTGAGCTTGCCATTGGGTAGTTCTCCTTGGTTGTTCATGTTGGGGGGCGCCTGTCTCGAGACAGACTCTGGAGAAGTGGTCGTTAATTCCACACTTAGTGCAGGTTTTGCCATTTGCAGGGCATGTTTTCCAGGGGTGAGGTCCGCGTCGGTCTCCACACCAAAAGCAGGTTCCAGGCTCCCGCTTTAGTTTCATTTGTTTGTGGCTTATCCAATTAACTTGTTCCTCGATTCCTTTTGTGGCGTCTGTTATGAGTTTGTTGGCTTTTTGGGCTGACTCGAGGGCCTTGGCTTCGGCAACGACATCTTGCATGTTCTTGGGCATTCCGTCCGACTTTAAATGCGTTTTTAGTAACTCAGCTCTCATTGTGCCATCGTGCAAGCCAAAAACGAATTTGTCACGGCACATTTCGTCGGTCAGTGCATTGTACGAGCACAGGCTGCCCGCCTGTCTGACCTTAACTTCCCATTCCTGAACAGATTCGTGTGGGCTTTGCTGAGTGTTCCAGAATTTAAATCTGTCCGCCAATAGGGAGCTTCCGATAGATCCAGTGTAATGAAGTCGTAATTTGTCCATCCAGATCCATGGTTTTTTCTGATCATCAGCTGCTATCTGGGGTTCAATTGTGTAACGGATCACTTGCAAGGCTTCGTCCGGCATTGCCGATCGGAGCGCTGATATTTCCAGTAACGGTTTCTTGTAGTAATCTGCTCTCTCTGTCTCGGGGTTTTTCGCTAAGTTTCGGTAGTCTGCTTGGATGCAGTAGTCGTGGAATCTGAGTTCGAAGTTCTTGAAATTTTCTGACATATTCCCGCCGAGTTTCAATTCAGGTCGCTTGAGGTTCGCCATCGCTGTTTGACGAGTCGGCTGCGGTCGTTGAATTCGCTAAATGTACGTTTGCTCTCCGTAAATGCTTCTCTTGTCGATTTATCGGATCTATCCCACTCCTGACACCATGTCAGGCAGTACAGACGACTCAAACAATATCGAGGGCTCAATGAACACAGTCTTTATTCCCGAGCTTGACCACGAGCACTTCGTGTTACAACAACAACCATAATTGGGGAGCCCGGATGTAGTTTCCCTCAGGGAGGGCCTAGGTACAAGTGACGGGCCAACAATAACCTATCCCCGTGTTCACAGCGTGAAGTGACCAGGAGTACTGTTACTCTTCCTGTATGGAATGATGGTCTTTTTTTTCAGGAGCTCTTATACAGCTTGTACCCCTGGTGCAAAGAGGAACCTGAAATATTTAGCTTTATTATTTAAGAAGCCACACAGTGATGTTGGTTACAGTTAAATTCATGTTACTTAATGTGGGGTCTGAAGAGGCAGGCCACCACAGTTTTAGTCATTTGAATATTCAGTTTTAAAAAACTTTCCCTTTAGACTTCCATCAGATGACAGAATCCTAGTCATTCTCTTAATGATGGATCTTTCTTGTTGTTTTCCTGCTGTTTGCAAAGCATTTTGGAATTTACACAGATGTTTTGAAAAAGTAACAAAATCTGTACTATGAAGTAAATTGCCATTTAAAGGTCATCTCAAACAATTCTCATAAGATTACTCCCTGACTTGTACTCTATGCACTCAAGTTTCTATCAACAATCCTTTTATGTTTCTTTCTTTAACTGATCTTTATTACAGCCAGATGGAACAGATCTGTTTCACTTTGTCCATGGACATCAAACATGGAGTGAATACCTAGTACACATGGAAAGAGATGGTGCTTGGGGTGATCATGTGATTCTGTGTGCCACAGCAAACTACTTTGAAACATGCATTTGTGTGGTCAGCAGTCTATCCCATAGAAATGATGTAATCATAATGCCACATTGTGCAGTTGATGAAAGGAAACCTCTTGTGCTGGGACATATTCATGAGGTGCACTATGTCAGCCTTCAACCCATGCAAGGTACTGCTCATTACATCACTCCAATGTAATGTAATTTCTGTTTTACAGTCATATTAGTTAGTTAGGATGCTCATTTTTCATTTTAAGACTGAGTTGACAACAGTCAACCTTTTTGTTGTTTGATTTGTGACTTTGCTCATTTAACACACATCATGAAATTTGTGGTTTTCATAATGTCATGCTTCATCACTGGCTCCCATCACAATAATCAAACACAATTCATGCACTCTATTGTTCTCCCTTGCCATTTAATCACAGTGTTCTGATTATTGTGTTTACAGGTTAAAGTGGCAGGCCCCTACAGTCACTTTGATTGGCCCTTGTGAAGAGTGTGGCCTAGCAGAATGACTTTATAAGCATACAGACTATTGATGCAAATTGGACAACTAGAGCCTTCTTCATCCTGATTTATCCAATGTAAACTTCAAAAATTTAGATTTGGTTTTAGAGGTTTTATAATATTAGTTTTCAAATGTATCATATGAAAAGAAAAACAATCCAAATGACAAGGGATGTAAAGAAACGACATCATACTGTTAAAAGTTATTGTAACTATACAAAAGTGTCTACAGGAAACAAAACACTATCACCAATATGAAATTTTATTGAGGGGATTTGAAACATGAACTCAGTTACTCTTAATTTTAATGGACCAACAAAAATATTTATTGCTACATACCATGTGTATGTACAACTTTGAATCTACCTCTCACCCTTTTAACTGCCACAAATGGATGTTTTAATTTTGGAAGCAGCTTATTCCATTTTCAGCCCATTCATGCCATTTAGGAAATGGATCAGTGCTAATTGATGATCTTACATTAAATTGTATGTTAAGGAAAAATCGTAAGACTCTATTTATTATAATTGTTTTAGTGTAGTAATAAATGTTTTTGTAAAGGGTAGTTGTTTGTGAATATATATAGGCATGTCAATTATCATTTTGTGTTTCCAAATCCTAGTGATACCTGTTTGAAGGGAAAATTTGTTTATGAATATATACAATTTAAGATAATGATGGATTGTAATGAAATCTGTATTTTTCACTGAAACTTTGCAAATTTCTTAAATTTAATCACATTGATTCAATATAATTTTTAATCATCTGTCACTTTATATGAGCACAGAAAGTCAGTTTTAATGATAACTGAATGCATGTGATCACTGCAATACCCATGATGAAATTTGCTGAGAAAAAAAAGCAATCTAAAGATACTTTCAATATTTCCTACAATTAACCCCCCCTCCCTCCTCCTATTGAAAATGGTAATATCATTATCTGTTACTTAGGCATTAGTAGACCAACATATCAGATATACATATTTTTAAATCATCTAGTGGTATGAAATACTTGAGATCTCCTCATAAGTGTTACTTCAAGACAACAATATTGTAAAAATGGAAGTTAGCAAAAATAAATATGTCTTTACAAAGTCTGTTAATATTTACTGGTTGCAGTTTGTGATAACTTGTATGTATTAGAGCCCTAATTACAGCGCGGTTGTTGTAAAGGTTTTTCATGAGGATCAATGGTTGTACTGTATTTAGCTCAATACTCTATCTTTGAAAATGTATTGATCACAATTTCACTTAGTAATTTACACCTCTAACCCCCAGAGTTTGTGCCGCTGCATTTGGTTAGAGAATACGTTCCTACATTTTATCTCTGGGTATTCTTTGGGTTTTTGTATCAGGCAGCGCATAAAGCAAGTCCTGCATGAGCGGTCTGTTAATTATTTCAAATGCAATGTAGTCTGTTTACATATGCGCCGCAGCCGCATTGTATTTTAGTAAGTTTTGGGCTATCTCTAAATATGAAGGGTTCTAGAATCCAATGTACTTCTTTTGTTGACTCTCATTCATGACCTAGGAACTGTGTAACTTTTGACTGACATACTAATTTATAGTTTTTTGTTTAACCTCAAAATATTTTTGAATTGTGTTGTTCCAGCAGATATTGATATTGACTGCAACTGGAAAAATCTCGAGTGCACAACTGTCGCTTATATCGATAATCTTAACTAACTCCTTGCCCTTGGTTTTCATTCTTGTACTGTGTATTAGGATACATGTATACACCATTCACAGCCTGGCTGCCACAGGGTGACTTCAATATTTCCTGAGACAACACATGTCAATATTCCTTTACTTTAAGAAACTAGGAAGAGATGGAGGTCTCAAATTTGGCAAGTTAATACTTGGTAAAGAATTGTGAAAATTTTCTTAACTTACAGTAGTGGTGCCAATAAATTACGCTCCGGAGATAAAATGCTTATCCATGCGATGCTGTTGCAAAATATCCGCATCATATGTTTATCCATCAGTTGCAGGCGAAGTAAATACACGAGTAACTATTTTCCCTCCTGCAGTATTCCGCCGCAAAGGTTAGAGGAGTTCATTTTCGTAACCATGGTTATGGACACACCTCCGTCACACCTCCTTATTGCTCCAATGAGAGTTTGCGTTCAGCTTTCCCAGAATGCCCGGGCAATCATTCAGTCAGAAGTTCATTTTTACTTCAAAGTTTGCATGTAAACCGCGTATGCTTTGTATTTCTTCTTCTATTAACCGTAAAAGGTCTATTTTGTATTGGAGATCGTGTGCTAGCCTTGCGTAGGGTGGAGTTTTTTCTTGCAAGTCTTTACGACCGTTTTTAACTCATTCAGAAGAGGTAAGTGCAAAGTAGTTCGCAGCTTGGTCAGCGAGGAGTCGTATGTAAATTATTCCTTCGTTGCCTTGGTCAGTTAGCCTCTCTCGCTTCTCGTTTCTTTTTGTTACTGACGCGTATTGATAAAAACTGTTAATGACGATGAAAAAATTCACGTTTAAATGATTTGCCTTCGATACTTATTTGTATGTTCATTCTCGGAACTGTCTTAAAGTAATCGTTCCATGTTTTCGCTATCGAGGGCTTCTAACAATTCAATAAAGAACAGAGTTATTGTGGAAACTGTGAGATAGCCGTTTTGAGGGGAGCTGTTGGGCAGTACAATGTAATACACACGCTACCCTACGAGTCAGTGGCACCGATGCATAAATCAGCCCATGTGGTGGAATGTCCACAGGCATTATCACTAAACATGTGTATGATGATTTATGGTTTTCAATCCTATTGAAATTTATCCAAGCTAGTTCTTTTAGGTGAAAGATTTAGGATAACTGACTGAATTAGTTATCAATTGTTTGCTCTAATACTCTCACAATTCTGCAAAAACATCGGGTTTTGTAATGGGTTATATCCTCCATACTGGGGGCTATACCATTTTTTGAACAGTTAGGAAAATCAACTTTGGGTTGCACTATGTCAAGGTAGTCTTGAGGTAAATACTGATTTGGTTCTTACTTGTTTGGTAGTTTTCCATACAGATGGTGGTTTCCACTAAAACGACCATAACCCATGCATTTCTGTTTTGAAAGGGACCAAATTACTAAAATTAAAAAAGTTTAGTCCAAGTGCAATACAGTAAACCACTTGCTAACATTACTTACTCTTGTTCTACAGAGGAATATTGGTCATCAGTTGTTTTTGTAAGGACCTCAGGAAAAAGTTCTCCATTACGGCCCTCAGGCTTGGTAAGAAGTTATTATTTGCAGTTATAGGTGAATTCATCTGCTGCAATGACAGTTATAAAATGAATGAAAGACAGTTGATTTCATTTTGATGTTTTAAATAAAAATTTAAGATGACGTGGTGGGCATGGCCACCACGTCCACCGCCCTGGCCACTGCCACCATGCTCCCCTCTTCCTCCTCCCTTGCCTCCTCCTCTTCTGTAGAGAGAGGCACACTCCTTGTAAGAGTGGCCTCTCTCTCCACAGTTGAAACATTTTTTATTTCTTTGAGAGAAAATTAAAAGAAAAAATTTGATTAAAAGTTGCAATAGGAAAATGCTCTTACAAGGAGATGTTACCCAACTGACAACTATACTCACAAGATCTAAATTAATAAACCTATTACCCTAAAATCCCTGTTTGTATTATCATAGATTTTTATCTTTCCTACAATGCCTGCATACTGCAGCTTTTTTCGTAATTGAAATAAAATAGTTGTTGTATATGTTTATGTATTGGAAACCGTTGCAATGGACCTTCAAGGGTTTTTTTATTTGATCTATATTTAATTTTAATTTCTTTGTCAACAGTCTAAAATAATCATAAAGTATTGCCTTTCTTTTTCTTCTCACCTTTCAATCTTTGAGAAATAATCTTAATCTTTTCTATATGAGAATTGTTAAGAAATGGCATTTGTTTTAATGCAAATAGGGATTTACATTCATTTGTTAGGTAGTATCATTTTTGGCTCTCATTGAATGAACAATGTATTTTCACAGTTGTTAGCTTTCAGTCTCTGTTGGACAGTGAGTAAAATACTTAGTTATTGTATGAAATTAAAACATACCAAGGAAAGTGCTTGAACAATTTTTATCCATTTGTTGCATTGATTTAAAAAAAACTCATTAGTTCACTGCACTCACCCATTTATTTATTTTCTTTTTTAATGCAATAAAACTCATTTGTGCACACTTTCCATGGAATAATCTCTATTTGTTACTGATTGAAAAATATTTCTTGGGCCCTGTATTGTTTCTAAAATTTAATTTCTTTTTTCATGAGCATGATAAATTTAAGATTTTCTGAATTCTGTGGAAAATGACATTTAAAATAAATGTTAGCCTAGTTTATTGCAATGTCAGTTGTTGACAATTTAATTTGCCATTTCAATTCTTCCACCCCTTCTCTTTTTTACTATTTTTCTTGTCCACATCTCTTTTCTGAGAAAAATAATCCTCCAAATTTTCATATGCCAGTGGTTCATTCTCTGGAATCTCAAAGGTTATTCTGGTCAACAGAAATAAAGACTGCTTGCTCTCTTTGAGGTTCTCAATATTAGCAAGTATTTTGGCATGGCTTAAATAAGACAACTTGACAATGATTTTTGGTTGAGCATTAAAACAATCTTAAGCATATTCTCAGTACTACTAAAGAACAAACTGTAGGGTTGTCAGTTGAGTGATCAGTCAGCTCTCTGATCCTGGGAATCAAAAGGCTGCACCATGATTCAATGTAGTTGGCTGTTAGAGAAGACAAGCTGGGAATTTGAACATGGTGATATTTTTACTAGTCATGGACAGCACTATTTATAGTTTTGATTGAGCATTAATTAATCTAATATTGCTAAGTTTTAGCAGCTTGGTCTTGGTTTTGGTTTGAAAATGACAAATGAAAAATAGAAACAAACAAATGCACATTTTGAGATTAGGGAGTATCACAGTCCCAACAGTACTTTTAATTTATTTCTTTGAGTTTTTTTTAATTTTGTATTTTTATTTTCAGTAAATCACACTAAGGGCAAAAGGGTGCCCATTGCCAAATTTTTGATTCAGCAGAAGACAATCCTTGAACAGTTAAGGTTACTCTCTGTAATCCCAAAGTGCAGCAGCAAACACAATTACTGCAGTATATTTTCACCACTAATTCTTTAAGGGCTGGCAGAAAAATAGAAATCTTTAGTGGTTGAGTTCTATACTTCTCTTTTCAGGCTACATTCTGAGCACCCCTTTGAATGGAGCTCTTAGAGTCTAACAGAAATATTACAGCAGATCACACCACCATAGTGCTGCGACAGCTGACATGCGGCTGATCTCTGGTGAGACTTTCATCACACCTTTATTACACTTTGATCATTTGATAAGTTGTCATCACAGACATATTTGACTTGCCTATCCATTTTTTTCCTGACCACTAGATTTTTTATTTTTTTTTCTTTTTAATTCATGCATCAAACAACCCATTCTACATTTAATTTAATCATATGTTGCGTCATGCCGGAGAAAATACGAAACAAAAGGAGACAAATTAACATAAAAAAAATAATAATCTGAAGACAAATTTGTCCTGAAGAATTCATTTAAAGCAGCAACTACATATGATCGCTATTCTACCGAGGGAAAAAGCCTTTGAAAATCAGGAGTATTATGTAAGCTTTATTAAAAATAAATTAACAAACCAAACCTCATGTGCCTTATTCTTTCACTCGTGATATTCAATAATTCTAGGTTTCAAATAACTTTCCGATTAGGTAATTTGTCAGGGGTACGATTAATAAGAGCAATGTTCAGGAAAAAATTGTGGGCTTATTTTTTTTGGAACACTTTTTGACTATTTTGTTTTTTTTTCTTCATCCAATCGAAAGTACTTCATGGAATCAAACTTAAAACAACTATTCAACGAAGTGGAGCTGGCTAGTGGTTGATAATAATATTCCTGCAACGATTACAATATGTTCGGGGGCAAATCCAGCGCGAGTTGTTGGGAAGTGGCTGGCAAAGGATATTCAGCGTTTGAGTTGCCACTCAGAGCTCATATTCATCTTTTTGTACTATATTATGTCAAGCATTTAAAGAAAGCGACAAAACTTTTAAGTCTGTAAAACATGTTTCGACAGAAACTTCTGTCATCTTCAGTTAATTAATGTTCAAAGCGTTGGAAGTTGAATTATCTAGTGCGTAGAACAATGCTAATTATGATAAATAGTGACAACAATAAAAGAGGTAAAGCATGAAAGTGTGAGAATTAAAAGGATAGTTTTAGATTTACATGGTGTAATTGTTGATTCATGGATGGTTGTTCTCTTTGAATATGAGTAGCCTCTTTTATCTTGAGTTGAAAACCGGTAGAGGTGTGATCTAAAACATGGAAGTTATCTGCTGAACACAAAGTGCGACAATGTGCAGAATCTTTCAGATGCTTGAAAATGTGAGAGGCCCTGTCACTGACTAAGTGCTCTCTAGCACGTGTGGAAAAATGCCGGCAGGTTTCACCTACGTATCACGCATTACAGCCAGCACATACAAACTTATAAACCACACATGAACGAAGCCCGTCAGCGACAGGGTCTTTCACACCAAACAAGAAGCCGATTTGGAAGGAAGATAAAACTAGTTTAATATCCAAGTCATTGCAATAGCGCTTAATAAAATGGCGAATCTTTTTTTTGATTGATAGCAAAAAAGTGGCCCATTTAGGGTAGCTTAAAGTAAAACCTAGGTGAAGTGGTAGGAAGAGAACCCCGGGGATGATGATTGCCTTGGGTCCCAGTGATGTAACGGTTTATAATCTTCTCGATTAAATGAGCAGGGAAAAGATTCATTTTTAGAATATCAATAAGTTTGTTAATGTCCTCGTGAAACCCTAACCAGGTGTTATTAATCTTGTAGGCCCTATCAACGAGAGTCTTAATGAGACCCACTTTGTAAGAGTACGTGGTGAAGCTGAAATAATTAGTTAGTAACCCAGTGAGTTGGTAACCAGACTGAGTTTCTTATCTGTGCATTGCCTCGATGTGACCGCGAGATGCCTCAATCGTGAATGGTACATTTTAATGTTGAATTGAATTAAATCAATTCTCCTTTTTATTTACTTATTTTTTCAGGTTTTCTACTTCCGTATGTATGTTGGCATTGTAATACTGGGTGCTCTTCACGGGCTGTTACTCCTTCCTGTTTTGCTAAGTTACGTTGGCCCAGCTCCCCGAAAAGTTCCTCCCACAGCGACTTCGTCAGATCACACCTCGGCCGTTTCCGAGCGCACGCCTTTAATAAAGGCGTAACTGAGTATCAATGTAAAATAAATTTTAGCCGTAACTTTAACCTTTTTCCGCTTAGGTATTCAAATTTCGCGTGCATCTCGGCGTTGTTTTGATCGGCGCGTAGCATGGTCTCTTGTTTCTTCCTGTACTTCTGAGTTATGTGGGCCCGATGTCTTCAAAGGCAGTGGCGGTGTTGGAATACGAGTCATCGTTAAGGCAACGATGATGAAAGGAAACTTGCTCTATTCTGAACCAGTGGAATCCAGTGACCTTGGACTGTTAAACTGAAATTGTCATTGCACATGATATTTTGTCTTTTTATGTTATTTAAAGCCTATTATAATAACGCAAAATCAATTTAAGAATAAGAAAAAAGAATGGCAAATTAACACTGATCTTAAAGCGAAGAAGCTTTTGAAAGCTGTGTTTTGTGAGTGGTGTTTGTTGCATTTGAGGAGAAAAATAAAGTTCCTAGCCTTCTACTTCTGTTGTTTTTGTTCCCATGGAACAGAACATGCTAGCTTATGAACAGTCGAACGAAAGGAATGAAACAAATCTTTTTATAACATAGCTAGTAAATTTGCGTAATCAAATTCAATTGCGCGAGCGTGCTTCATATTCCTATTGTGCACGTTCATGACGTCAGCAAACAAATCCCTCGAGAAGAAGATTTTCCATCGGGTTGATAATGTTATAAAAAAATTGTTTCATTCGTCAACTGTGCGTTCATCGAGATATGAAGCACTTGGGAAGTTTGGAGAGCACTCAAGAAGCTAGAGTTGCTCTCGGCTACGCCTCGAGCAACTCTTACGCATCTTTCGTGCTCTCCAAACTTCCCGCGTGCTTCATATCTCGATGAACGCACGCTGACGTATGAACCAATTGTTAATGGCGCCGCTCACGTTGTTGTTTTAATTTTTCTGTTTTTATTTTGTTGTCCTTTTTTTTTTCTCTCCATTGGATTTATTGGTAAAAATAATGTCGTTGATTCCCAGGTTTTTTTTTAGGACCTTAACCCTTAAACTCCCAAGATCTCATTATTAATTCTCTTTACTATCTTTCATACATTTCTCATAATGTCAATTTGGAGAATTTGGTACCAGATCAACTAATAATCCCTTAATTAATATTTTAGTTTATTCTCATGCTCAATATCTTGCTTGTTATTGTATTGATATTGTAAGGAGAATTTCTCTCTTGGTCGCTCATGGGAGGTAAAGGGTTAATAATCTTGCTTTGAGAAGCTTTTCTCCTGCTGTTCGTTTGTTGCATCGCAAAGAGCTTGGAGGATGGGAGAGTGGGTGAAAGAGATCAAGTTGGTCAGCGGTGATAAACTACGTATTCAAACCAGCACTACAGTCGACGGGTATGCGCGAGAGGATAAGTTCTTGTCGACCGTGCGCCAATTTCCCGCGCGTTGAGAATTCGCTTCTCCTCCAGCTAAGAAAAGACACTATTCAATAGACTAATGAGTGACATCTCGCATCCTGTTTAAGAGTCAATTTCCGATAAACACAGCGTGTTGGCTGGATACACGTAAACACATGCTGCAGTACTTTTTCGATGTACCTAATATACTGTTAGCGCACAGCCATCGCACGCAAAAAACTTTCACCTCAAATACATGACACGTCGTATCATCGAAATTTCGAGGAAAAATGTCTTGCGCACAGGCATTTTTTCTTATTAAAACGTGTCCGCAAATTTGCAAGGCTCCAGCCGCATGCAAACATTTGAAGCTGAAGCGATGATTGTGAGCAAAACCATACGATACTCAAGTAGACTTTAAGAACTAAACAGATTATATTTCATAAAACAACCTTTTTGTTTGTAACCTCTTCGCACTCAATTTTTCATCAAAAATATAAGTGGTTAAATGACATCGATATAAGCTATTCTACGGTGGGTAGATCAAGTCAAATTTTTTGATACGCCGAAAATGTCTGAGAAAACGGGGAAGAAAACTTAGTCTAGCCATAAACTAGGGAAATTATTACTTTTGGCTCCAATATCTTTAAAATTCGTCATGTGATATAAACCCTCGAGCTTTCAAGGGTGACTACAAAGTCGCCCACAATCTTGACGCAGCTAGGGAGGGGTAATTAAAACTTTATACTCACTCCTTCAGGTCGTGTTGAAATGTATTAATACAGATGTACCGCTAAATAATTTACCAGGACAGAAGAAACCAATTTAGGAATGAAGGAGGGACTACTGGTAACATGGTGGGTTAGGAACACGTTCTAAATCTATTTGGCGCATTTTGGAGCACTGATTGGGGAATGAAATTATTGTCACTTCCAAGCAACCTTGGGGCTAGTTCATTTTTTTCTTTTTTTATGGTTGTTTCTACTGTAACTGCCTCATACACCGGGGCTAAGGCATTTTTCTACTTCCTTTTTGCCAATAAAGTGCGTAGGAGGATGGGACCCAAGCTTCCTCGGACCCCTATTCCTACGGAAATTATTTACACAGCCGCTGTTTTAACAGCAGGGTTTGGTCATACTGGTCATACTTTCAGAGTTTCCTGACTTTTCGGGTCTGGTTAACTGCCTTTTAAAAGCAAAGGACTCGCACTTCGCACTGCCTCGCGCGCTTGCCTCTGGTCGACTGCAAAACGCAACTGAGATACGCCTGTTCTGCAGGTAGATTTAAAATCGCTTAAAATCCAAGCGACAGCGCTGTCCTTACACAGGTCTCTTCCAGGTTCATCCTTGGTCCACTTATTTTTTTACGTCGTGTTTTGTCGGTTTTTTTTTCTTTTTACCCTGAAAAGTGACACCTTCTAAAAACTGTTTAGATTCCAAATCTTGCATGTCACCTCATTATAAGTCGGTCCATGAGTTTAACGAAAAGTTCAGTCTTCTGTCACAGATAGCCTTGGGTTCAGGCATAACTTCCATGAGTGACCAAGACAGAATTTCTCCTCACAATATCAAGACAATATCAAGAAGACAAGTGAGGAGAATAAAGAAAAGTTTTAATTAGGGATTATAGGTTGATCCAAACCCGAATTGTCCTAACTAACACCAAAGGAATTGACTGGGAGACAGAAAGGAGAATTACTTATAAGATCTTGGAAGTGAAAAGGTTAACGAATAACACGTAAGCGCGCGCTATTCAAAGTGATCGTCGCCAGAAATTCTCTTAATTTTGTCATTGACTTACTCCTCCCTTCCAACAAAATGTCAAATGACTTGCCTCATTTTTGACATTCAAATGCTTCTTTATTGAACTTACGAAATAGGTAAACAACTAATTAGGAGTGACTAAGTACATCACTAGGCTTCAGCTTTCTCGCACAGTTTGAACTTCTATCGATGCCTTGTATAATGCACAATTGTGAAATCGGCCAATAGATGGAAACATAACCCTTTTTAAATCCTCGTTTCGCTGTTGTGCTATTAATTTTAACAGTATATCTAAAATGCATCGTGATGCTTGAACAATGAGCATAACTTATCGCATTCAAACGTAAAGGAAAACTTAGTCTAGATATTGGTGAGAGAAAGATTAAATCCGGGCCATAAAGGTAAAAATCTGTTATTTAAGTCCTGAAAAACAATGTTTCCGATACAAAAAAAAGAGCTTTGATAAGCAATGCCTAAGTAAAAATCCTCAAAAAAGTTTATGACAGAAAACTAACTAACATACTCGAGCAATCAGACAACCTATTATTCTCAAAGGTCTATGGATATGGTTGTAATAGCTTTATATCAGTCATCTGGCAAAAACCGATCGAGAGAAAATCTGTAAAAAAAATCTCTGGAAATCACCTTAAAGAGTCTCAACTTTGACGTTAATGTGACGCCCACATTAACGTCCATGTTAGATTAAAAATATAACTTTCTATATTGCTGGTCATGATAATTTCAAGACATCTCATTAAAAGAAAAATTACACGAAAATCAGTTTGAGTAAGATATTAAGGATCAAAACATTTGAAAGTTCTTTTCCTTTAGAGTATCCAAAATCCTTCAAGCTCGTAAGAACAGTTCAGACGGGTGACAAGTCAAGTTTTGAAACAATAGAGATCGTTAAGGACTCTCGTTGATTTTGTCTTTGGCCATCTGTTGACTCTCCCTGCTTTAAAAAGAAGACTCTTGACAAAGTTTTCATCAGTAGCTTACTGCTTTCTGATCCAAATATCATCGTTAACTTCCTCGGGTTTGGTCCTTGTTCTGATATAGTTGCAATGCTCACTGCCTCAGCTGAAAAGTAAGAGTAAAAATTTAGGAAGGATCGTTGAGTTGCCATCGAGTGTTTTCCTTGGCTATGCAAAATTAAACAATACACCGGAAAACTGGATAGTTATAGAGAAAATCTTATCTTTTTTTCATTCTTATCATGGTTATCATCGTAAATGTTGCAGCGACTGCATTTCATCTCAATTTGCTCGAGCAACCAAAAATTCCTAACTCCATTGAAAGAAAAACAACATACAACAACTATAATTTTGATTTATGTCACTTGGTATTGAAAAAATGTTATAAACAGAGTAATTACATGGTTCAGAGTCTGAATTTCCTTGAAATCCAGGTTGACGTCATCACCAATGAGTACAAATGGTGCCCAGTACTTCACCTCCTCGTACTTTTCGATTTCTCTCATACACTTCATGGCCTGCTGGAGAGCTTCGCTTGCCTTCTTGCCCTTAGCAAGTGCATCGTAGAAGAAACTCATGAACTCCAGGGTTCCCTCGTCATCAATTGCCCATAAGGTTGCCACAACAGATCTGGCACCGGCACCCAAAAATGCTCGTGCGATGCCGACCACACCCTCGGCCATGACCTCCCCACGAGCACTGTGAGGACAACTCAGTACAACCAGTCGAGCCCGCAGCCCAGCTTCTAGGACATCTTCCATCGTCAGTAGATAGTCTTTTTCTTCTGGCTGAGAGTTCTTCCTTGTAGTGTTTGGTGCCAAGATGACTTCCCCAGTTTCCATTTTACCGTGCGCTGCAATGTGCACTAACGCCACTGATGACATTCGTTTTAACACCTCATCTTTTGTAGCCTTTTCTCCAGTGAGAGGGGAATGATTGAGGATGCGTCCAATCATCTCCACTTCTTTTCTTGCTCCCGGAAGTTGCACTAAACGTCTTCCCTGGTAGATGATATCTCTGAAACATGGGTCGCCAACCAGCAATGCACCACTCTTCGCGTGGAAGTCAGCTGGGCAATCATGTATTTGTTGTAAGGTCGTCAAGGACGGAAGCACACGAATTGTGAAAGAATCATTTAGACACGATGACCTCGAGTCCTCCAATGCGGCATAAGGTACAAGGCAAAATGGCCCCTCTGGAACGACAGTTAGCTCGTTGCCTTCGATCAGATCAGCGATAGGACTAAAGATGATGTCACGAAGCTTCTGCAGAGCACTTGATTGTGAGTACCTCACATCATCTCGGATCATATCTTTGGCCACTTGATCCTCTTTTGGCGAATCAGCTGAAGGATTTCCGCGTGTGACAGCATCTCCCCTAAAATTCTCTATAAGGGCAGTTTTGTTCAGTAGCTGGATGAAAGATTCCAATTCTTCCTCACACTTATAATTGTTCACGTGAATCTTTCTCATTTGGATATTATCTTCACTGAGGCAAACCCAGAAGTAAACGCACGGTCCACTGATAGCTATGAAAACTGTGCTTGATGGAACAGAACTCAGGGAAAGGTACGAACCGCTCCTCCTGGAAGTATCTTCAGGCTGATATCTTGCGTCCATGAGATCTCTCAGAGCTTGAGCACGTCCTTTTTCTGCGGCAAGAAGAGCGTTCACAACTTTACCTTGAATGAGGCTTATACGCCACAAACCTTTGTATGCACTTTGGTGCTGATTACGATAGCAAATCTTCCACGTATCTTGAAATTGAAGACCGGCCCTGATATCATCATACACCTCTACACTCGAGTAATAGTAGGTAAAGGCCCTCATGGGATCTCCTTGGCACTCGAAACTTATACCGAGGGAACCGAGTGAGCATGCCTCTCCAGCCTTGTCTCCTACTTCTTTGGATATTTCTAGGTGACGTTGGTACGACTCAATTGCCCTTTTAAACTCTCCTTGACCGAGAAGAATTCTGCCGAGATGGCAATAACTGATTCCCTCTCCAGCCTTGTCTCCCACTTCTTTCACAATTTCTAGATGACGTTGCTGATACTCGATTGCTGTTTTAAACTTCCCTAGACCTTGATAAGCGATGCCGAGATTGCCATAGCTGATTCCCTCTCCGGCCTTGTCTCCCACATCTTTAGCAATTTCTAGATGACGTTCCTGGTACTCGATTGCTATTTTGAACTGTCCTAGACCTTGATAAGCGTTGCCGAGATTGCCATAGCTTCTTCCCACTCCGGCCTTCTCCCACTTCTTTTGCAATTTCTAGATAACGGTTGTGATACTCGATTGCTGTTTTGAACTCTCCTAGACATTGATAAGCGTTGCCAAGATTGCCATAACTGATTCCCTCTCCAGCATTGTCTCCCACATCTTTAGCAATTTCCAGATGACGTTGATGGTACTCGATTGCTGTTTCGAACTGTCCTAGACCTTGATAAGCATTGCCGAGATTGCCATAACTTTGTCCCTCTCCAGCCTTGTCTCCTACTTCTTTAGCAATTTCTAGATGACGTTCCTGGTACTCGATTGCCGTTTTGAACTGTCCTAGACCTTGATAAGCGTTGCCGAGATTGCCATAGCTTTTTCCCTCTCCGACCTTGTCTCCCACCTCTTTAGCAATTTCTAGATAACGGTTGTGGTACTCGATTGCTGTTTCAAACTCTCCTAGACCATGATAAGCATTGCCAAGATTGCCATAACTGATTCCCTGTCCGGCCTTGTCTTCCAGTTCTTTAGCAATCTCTAAATGACGTTGCTGGTACTCGATTGCTGTTTTGAACTGTCCTAGACCTTGATAGGCGTTGCCGAGATTGCCATAACTTCGTCCCTCTCCAGCCTTGTCTCTCTCTTTCTTAGCAATTTCTAGAGAATGCTGATGGCACTTGATGGCTGTTTTGAACAGTCCTAGACCTTGATAAGCGTTGCCGAGATTGCCATAACTTCGTCCCTCTCCAGCCTTGTCTCCTACTTCTTTAGCAATTTCTAGATGACGTTCCTGGTACTCGATTGCCGTTTTGAACTGTCCTAGACCTTGATAAGCGTTGCCGAGATTGCCATAGCTTTTTCCCTCTCCAACCTTGTCTCCCACCTCTTTAGCAATTTCTAGATAACGGTTGTGGTACTCGATTGCTGTTTCAAACTCTCCTAGACCATGATAAGCATTGCCAAGATTGCCATAACTGATTCCCTGTCCGGCTTTGTCTTCCAGTTCTTTGGCAATCTCTAAATGACGTTGCTGGTACTCGATTGCTGTTTTGAACTGTCCTAGACCTTGATAGGCGTTGCCGAGATTGCCATAACTTCGTCCCTCTCCAGCCTTGTCTCTCTCTTTCTTAGCAATTTCTAGAGAATGCTGATGGCACTTGATGGCTGTTTTGAACAGTCCTAGACCTTGATAAGCGTTGCCGAGATTGCCATAACTTTTTCCCTCTCCGACTTTGTCTCCCACCTCTTTAGCAATTTCTAGATAACGGTTGTGGTACTCGATTGCTGTTTCAAACTCTCCTAGACCTTGATAAGCGTTGCCGAGATTGCCATAGCTTCTTCCCTCTCCGGCCTTGTCTCCCACCTCTTTAGCAATTTCTAGATAACGGTTGTGGTACTCGATTGCTGTTTTGAACTCTCCTAGACCATGATAAGCGTTGCCAAGATTGCCATAACTGATTCCCTGTCCGGCCTTGTCTTCCAGTTCTTTGGCAATCTCTAAATGACGTTGCTGGTACTCGATTGCCGTTTTGAACTGTCCTAGACCATGATAGGCGTTGCCGAGATTGCCATAACTTCGTCCCTCTCCAGACTTGTCTCCCTCTTTTTTAGCAATTTCCAGAGAATGCTGATGGCACTTGATGGCTGTTTTGAACAGTCCCAGACCTTGATAAGCGTTGCCGAGACTGCCATAACTGATTCCCTCTCCGGCGTTGTCTCCCATTTCTTTAGCAATTTCAAGATGACGTTGATGGTACTCGATTGCTGTTTCAAATTGTCCTAGACCTTGATAAGCGTTGCCGAGATTGCCATAAATTTGTCCCTCTTCAGCCTTGTCTCCCACTTTTTTCGCAATTTCTAGATGACGGTTGTGGTACTCGATTGCTGTTTGGAACTTTCCTAGACCTTGATAAGCATTGCCGAGATTGCTAGAACTTTGTCCCTCTCCAGCCTTGTCTCCCACTTCTTTCGCAATTTCAAGATGACGGTTGTGGTACTCGATTGCTGTTTCGAACTGTCCTAGACCTCGATAAGCATTGCCGAGATTGCCATAACTTTGTCCCTCTCCAGCCTTGTCTCCCACCTCTTTAGCAATTTCTAGATAATGTTTCTGGTACTTGATTGCTGTTTTGAACTGTCCTAGACCATGATAGGCGTTGCCGAGATTGCCATAACTTCGTCCCTCTCCAGCCTTGTCTCTCTCTTTCTTAGAAATTTCCAGAGAATGCTGATGGTACTCGATTGCTGTTTTGAGCTGTCTTAGACCTTGATGGGCGTTGCCGAGATTGCCATAACTTTGTCCCTCTCCGGCCTTATCTCCCACTTCTTTAGCAATCTCTAGATGACGTTGCTGGTACTCGATTGCTGTTTTGAACTGTCCTAGACCATGATAGGCGTTGCCGAGATTACCATAACTTCGTCCCTCTCCGGCCTTGTCTCCAACTTCTTTAGCAATTCCTAGATAACGGTTGTGGTACTCGATTGCTATTTGGAACTGTCCTAGACCATGATAGGCGTTGCCGAGACTGCCATAACTTCGTCCCTCTCCAGCCTTGTCTCCTTGTTTCTTAGCAATTTCCAGAGAATGTTGATGGTACTTGATTGCTGTTCTGAACTGCCGTAGACCTTGATAAGCCTTGCCGAGATTGCCATAACTTTGTCCCTCTCCGGCCTTGTCCCCCACTTCTTTTGCAATTCTTAAACAACGGTTGTGGTACTCGATTGCTGTTTTGAACTGTCCCAGACCTTGAAAAGCGTTGCCGAGATTGCCATAACTTCTTCCCTCCCTGGCTTTGTCTCCCACTTCTTTAGCAAATTCAAGACGACGTTTGTGGTACTCGATTGCTGTTTTTAATTTTCCTAGACTTTGATAAGCGTTGCCAAGATTGCCATAACTGATTCCTGCTCCGGTCTTGTCTCCCACTTCTTTAGCAATTTCTAGATGACGTTGGTGGTACTCGATTGCTGCTTTGAGTTGTCCAAGACCATGATAAGCGTTGCCGAGATTGCCATAACGTCTTCCTTCTCCGGCCTGGTTTCTCAGTTCTTTAGCAATTTCTAGATAACGAAGCAGACCTTTACTATTCTTATCAATCTCAAAACTTGTCAAGAATATAGAAAACATGATTAAATGTACAAAAATGGAACGAAAATGTGTGTTTCAACAATGATTAGAATATTAGGCAGAACAATTAAATTCGGTAAAAAGTTTTGGTTTTCACGTCCCTTGCAATTAACATTTTCGTGGTGACCAAATCACCTTGGTTTATGTTCGACCATGAGTGCTCTACTTGCAAAGATAAACTTATTGACTCTCAGCAAGTTATTCCCAGAGCGGTAGAAATTTTTTATATAACTATTTCAAAAACTACACTGGGTCGCCTTAAAAAAATTATTTCCCCTTTTTGTCTCACCTCTTGAAGGGTCATCGTATATCTCCAGTTTTGAATCACTTGACGTAAATTGGCTTTTCTCTGTCGCTGAAATTACCAAGCGGAAAATATATCGATCTTTTCAGTGATCACAACTATGAGCAATTCCAACATGCACAGTATCCTCGTCACCCAGAATACCAACCTATTTAATAGATTCCGTAATACCTTTAAGTGTAAATGTTTCAAAGATAAGTGCACATGATTAAAGATATACTTAACTATTCGACCAAAAGGCCTAACAACCACTTCAAAACTATCATATAACGGTCTTCTTCTCTCACCTGTGACTGGAGGCTCATTGTTCAAGTCCAGTTCTTCCCCCGTTGTTAGGAGATTACTTTCTGCCATAGCTGGAGATAAATGGAGTCGATTTTAATGCGCTATAAATCATGGTTACAAATCAAAGAAGGAGACTGAAATGAAGGTAATCTAAAGAGAACGTCGAGAAAAAATAAAAGTCCCAAAGTTTCCTCTGTCACACTATCGTGATGGCGTGACAGCTCGAGTCACGTTCCGCTGTTTTGACTTAATTGGACGTAGAAGGAAAGCCTTTCGACCAATATTTCAACCGATAAACTCAAACTGGTGATGATTAAAGACACCTAAGACTCCTTACAGTTAGTATATTTTACTTAAACATAATGCATGGATAACCTTTTTTTTTTTATTTTATTATCATCATTAAAGTTTTTTTTTTTTGCGAACCACTAGGCTCTTTTAACCTAAAAGTTCGTTTTAAGTATAAAGTTGGCATTAACTGTCAAGGGTCCAAGTACTCACTACTGAATCATTAAGGCAAACACAAGCGAGGTTTTGCGTAACCGTCACGAATTCTTTCAACACCCTTCCCCCCCGGCCTATTACGTAAAGAACTGCTTTCATATACCGTCACTCAGACACACCTATCCACCAAAGGTTTCAGTTACTTCATAAAGCGCATGTGTAACAATTTCCACAAAGCTACAGAAGATTCCATAAATTTTCTTTTGAAGGCGCTTATAAAATATGAAAAACTGAAAGTGGCTGGCCCATAAACAATTATGTCGGAGAAAGTAAATAATAAATAGTCTGTTCCTGTACGATTTTGAAGGGGATATTCGGGAAATATCTACTAAAACCGATTTCTGACCGAAAATCGGCTAGAAATAACACGACTAACCACCAAGAGGATACGTAACTTGAATTACTCAAGACCAAAAAAATTTACTTCCAGTCAAGGTCTATGTTTTTATTGTGCCAATTTTCGAAGAGGAAGTCGAATGATGCTCACAAGCTTTCAAGAATCCAAAATAATTAACCGTGACGTTGGCGAGGTTTCGTTTTCGTACATGTTCAATAATTCGTATGAGTAACCACCTTGTGGATATGTAGTTTGAATAGTTGAAGACAAATATTTAGTTCCTATGAATGTCTACAAGTTTTGCGGAGGAGGTCGAATAATGTTCGCAGGACTTCTAAGAACTAAAATAATTAATAGCGACGTCGGCGAGGTTCCGCTTTCATACGTAATAAAGAATTGGTTGTCATTGTGGTTCTATCCTTAAAATTTCATTTTTGTTAGCTTTTTATCACGATACTCCAATTTCTCGACCCAAGAGTGCGAAATGTGTTGTTTTTTAATTCCCGCTAACATCCCACACAAAAAAAACACAACAAAAAAAATGATTGAAGTGGGTTAAATAACATAGCTAGACCATTTATTTTTGTCACATGACTGAACATTCAGGTTTTTCCGGCGGTTTTGGCTACAGCAGAGTCAAAGATACGTGTTTAGTCCAAACGAAGAACAGCTCGAGGGGCATCTTATGTTGCAAGTAATTCTTCTTTTTATCCATGCAACAATTTCTTATTCTCAAGGTCCTTAAGAATGCAGAGAAGAAACTTGGCCATCTCTATCTCATGCTTAGTCAGTAATGCACATATCTATAGGGGTTTTACATACCCGCACAAGGATGCGAAATTTACCACCGAGTGTTGATGATATCGCTCACTCTTTCGATGAAATAATAAAACTCGAGAAGATCATAGATAAATTTTTATCAAGCAGTGAATATGTATCATCCTATTTATGATATATATAGATATCGAGATTAAACTTGAAACATATATAATTTTGAAACACATTTTAAAAGCACCGAACAGCGCGGGAGAGATCTACCGCACTGAAACTCACCTCGCCGAAAAGCTACCTCTAATTCGGACATTAAAATTTGACAAAATCTTGTTACAAGAAATACTTCTCTTTATTTAAAGTTGAATTCAATCTTAGAAACGTTCGTAGATAAAAGCCGTTTCGGAAAGTATTACCGTAATGTTTATAAATCCGATTATCATGACGACGTTGATATCTTAACATGTGAAGACGTACATGTAAATGACACGTTTACAGCGTGCAGTGTAGATGTAATTTTTTTGTTCCATGCGAATCTATAATACTATCACAGTTACAATAAATAGCGAATTTTGCGACATCAAAATTGCTGCCGCGATCTAAAGATCTTTTTCATGGAAATGCATTGCATTTTTGTTTGTTTGCTTTGTTTTGTTTTATTTTGCTTCACGCTTCGTTTCGTTTTCGCGAAATATTGGCTGGTTTTGATATTGACAAGAGCTATAAGTACAACAGGTCATCCAGCTCTGTCACGCTCTCATCACGTGCGATCACACACTGTTAACTTTTTAACTCCCAAGATCATACTCGTGATTGACAAATCTGACTCTCGCATCGCAGTCGTCCGATTTTGTGAGATTACAGACCGAATAGGACTCCACTCAATCCTATTACCATTATTAATCATATGAGAGAAATCAATGGAATTTTTTAACGTGATGTAAGTGAAATATTTCATATCTGACAGCAGTAAATCAAGAAAACTCGATTGAAATTAAACCTAATTGTTTCCAGGCGCAAGGAACATTAGATTACGCGCTTTCATTTTGAAAAACATGAGCTCTAAACAGCTGTCATAAACTGGAATTTAAAAAATTGAATCGTACCTGTTAAACTGTCTTCCTCTGAAGCTCCCTATTCTCCAAACGATGCTTTTTGTTATTTCTAAATCCCTGAAAATACCAAGAACAATGTTTTGTTTTACAACAATATCGATGAAAACATGAAATATTCTATATTCACTCGTTTAAAACATTTACTAGTCTCTTTCCATGCCCAGTGTCGTGAGTAAAAGTTCCTTTTCTATTTCAGGAAAGTTGTTTGTTTGTTTTTATTTTTTATTACTATTTGTTTAAATGTTTCTGCGTGACGATTATTTCATTCCGTGATTAAAATTCAGCTATTTCCCTCTCAGTGGAAAACACTCGCAATTCCTTTTTCTCCTCAGAGCAGGACACTCTCTGCCATTACTGGATCAAAAAGAATGATTTCAAACCGTGAGTTACATATCGTACCAATATCATTTTTCTTCGAGTGATCACCTCGAATCTTACTGGTTTGCCGAGCTCAGTCGCGAGATATCGAGGTCATAACGGGAAGGGTAGCTCCATATTTACAAGAAACCATGAATTATTTTGTTTATTAGACAAACACTATAGTCCTTTACTTGCAAAAAAAGTGGACTATACTAAAAAATGAGAATTTGATATTCCTTCATCCCCCTGACAAAGTGGCGCGAAAGACGAGTGACGTGTAAGCAGCTGATTGGCGATATAAATCACTGCAGTTTATATGACAAATGTTTTTTTTATCAACTTTCCTTGAAAAAAGCGTTACGATTTTCTCCAATTTTCATTTTCCGCTTTTGCCGTGACAACTTCGTAAAGTTACTAAAAATAAGAACTGTGAACCTATTCCTTCTTCCCGCCAATTCTGCACTTAGGATGTTTGCAGTCAAAAGTGAAAAAAATCTCTAGTCAAATATGATGGTGCTATATAGATCTCATCCCAATACGATTATTTTTCAAACAATAAAATGTGTTCCTTCCTTCCAAGAAACAGATCCTGATTTGCATTTGATTTCACACGCAGTTGAGTCCCAACAAGATTAAAAGGACACCCATCACTAACTGCCTCTCACATGTAGAAAGTATTTTGTTTACATCAAGATACTTCCTTTTATGAGATACATTTTTCTGTTCTGAACGATTATAATTTTTTTGGGCTGAATATTGCATTGAAATCTACTTTGTGAGAACAAATGGAATATCATGGTTTATAATCGGAGGTAGATATAAATTTAAAGAAATGCCATAAATAATACAGTAGTCTTGAATATTTTTTTCACAATTTTCCCCTTCTTTCGATTACAATATGCTATTCATTACTTCATTAGCTTTCCTCACCTTAAGAATGCCGCATTAAATTCCAAGAAAGCTCTTTTCCAGGACGGATACTCGACTTCTCGTCGTAACTAACGAAGAAGAGAGTCAAATCGTTTCGGGTTTTGATTACATTAAACTCAGAATACCATATGTACTCTTCCTAGAGAAATATCTGCTGAAGTTATACAAGTATTCTCTACCTGGAAATTCCATGCATCTCTGTGCATAGAAAACCTCAGTGCATATTACAGGAATTTTATGAATTAAATGTTTTTAATCAGTTTTTCCTAGCTCTCTCTCTCTCTCTGAGCCCAGCATTTTCTGACGCGTTCGAATTCATTAACTGAGGCTATTTACTGAGGTGCATGTGAGACAAACGGCACACATGATATTGGAATCAGTAATATCAATAGAATATCAGTTGATAAACTCGTAGTAATTTTTAGTTTCATAGATTCTTCATGGGTATGTAATAAACTACCTTAAGATCTCTTCATGATGATAATCTATATGTCAGTATTGAGAAATAATTTTGTAGTTTAGACTGATAAAGAGAGGGGCTTAATTTTTTTTCTCGGTCGTCGGATAAAGAACGATTTTGATTATTTTCACGAGTGTGTAAAAGAGAAAAGAATCTGGCCTGTTTGGAGGAATTTATGTCTTGACCTGCAGATTTAGATTTTTGAATATTTTTCATTCGACAATGGAGCTCAAAATTCACTTTCTTTCTTTATCTAATTTCAAACATGACACTTAACCACATTTCAGATCTTAGCAGTGTGCGTATATAAACAGTGCGTATGTCTTGGCTCCTTAGCGAGAGCTGTAAGGCTCTGAGGTCAAACTTTCAGATCGTAAAATCCGAAGGTCAAAGATTTGAATCCTCGAGTGAATTCATTCTCTCTCCCACGTTCGTGATGAGTAAATAAGATCGATATTTCTTTCATTCTTTAGACTCATGTTTCAAATTATTTCTATTTGTATCTTTAGTCAATACCCGTTTATCTCATTCATTGCATTGGGTCGCTATTAACTTATTCTGTCCTCACCTTAACTCCTGTGAAAATGTGACTTGCCCCACACGTGTGTAACAAAACGGTGCACTTGGTAACACCAGCAGTATTAAAGAAGCTGAATATGAGCTCATCGCACTCGAAACAGAAAATCATTTGCTTATTTCGTGATACATGATTCGATTTTGGGGCTATGCTATTTCGCTATTAGAACGCCAAGTTGAGAATAGGCGTCACATAACATTTCTTAGTTTTTCATTTTCATTAATCCAGAGTATCGCACAATGATATAAACTTCCAATCTTTTTTTCCGCTGGTGTGGTGTGTCGTTAAACTGCCGCCTCTTTGGGTTGTATGTCGCCGAACTGCCTTGTGGGAGGTCGAGGGTTCAAGCCTAAGACTGGATGTGGGAAGATATTTAAGAGCTGCGAATTTCAGAAGACACACCACACAAAAAGAATGACTGAACAGAAACGATTAGAGACAAAAGAGAGTACGAAATATTCAGTACTAGAAATAACGACTTCAACTTTATTCCGTTTAACAACTTCAGACAACTTACAGGACTCTTCTGTAATTTAATCATTCATACAACGTGCCACAGCTGAGAGTTCTTTGGCCGAACTAAGAGTCCTTTTACAGCCAGTTAAAAAGAACATCGTAAAAATATCGATCAATCACCTTAGAACTTCGATCAGGAGTACAAGTGGGAAGGGGGTTTAACCCAATAACTCCCAAGATCTCATTAGTAATTCTCCCTACGGTCTGCCATAAAATACTCATGATTTCAATTTGGAGAATTTGGTATTGGATCAACTTGTAGTCCCTTAATTTAGTTTTCTTCTTTATTCTCCCAACTTGTCTGCTTGATTCTGTGTTGATATTGTAAGGAGAAGTTCTGTTTTGGTCACTCATAGGAGTTAAATGGCTAATCGGACAAGGGAGGAGAGGGTTCACCGTTTTTGGCGAGGAACAAAAAAAAATAAAGAATTGTAATACGGCAGTAATAACCAGGTGCATTTTTACGCCGTTATAAACTGCTACCTATATATGACACTATAGACAGATGTGAACTTCTCATACAAGACTACAACAGAGTTGAAAGTTTCGGAGTAGCAGATTGAGGTGAGCTAGGCTAATGACCCTTCGAATTGTTACCTCAACAGGCAGTTCTGATTTTATTACTGGGTGAATTGATTTGAAAAAAAAATTATCTGGCTCAGATCGGTGTAGCGAATCCATGGTTTGCATCTTCAAGAGAAACACAACATTTTTTTTGGCTTCTCTGGCACACCGCAATATTTGACGAGAGAGGGATTTTGAAACAGCGTGACAGCAAGGAACCAGCGGTTGATAGCCTGGTGAGAAATGGGTGGTAGCCGGAATGCACGGGCCCAAGGATAACTTTTAACAAAACAAGAAAAATCAATAAACAAACCGACAAAATTTAAGTAAAAACTAAACAAAACAAAGCCAAAACGACGTTGAGATTACGGTCGGTATGAGATACTCGGTCAAGCCTACTAAAAAACCCCTCTGTGATTCAACTAGGGAAGCCGGGTGCTAATGTAGGTCGCAGCCGTTGTTTGATATCGTAAGGCAACGCTCTCTTTCTCATCCAAGAGATGGCGTTGTGGGACGTGGTAAAAAACGGCAAAGGAGACCGGGTAGATGCTCCTTCACACTTCTTAAACAATTTCACCTTTTTTTCACCTGCGTTGAATATGCTCTATATGTGTTTAGCGTGTAATCACAAAATGAATCCAAAAAAAAGACGAGTGAAACAAACTTCAGACATTACAAACTACACTTTCTCAAATCGTAAAACAAGTTGGGCAAGCTAGACGTGATGTTCTGTATTTTTGAGACAAACAAACAAACAAACACGGAAGCAAAAACAAAAAAGTGACAGCTTGTCACTACATGTTACACTAGTAGCACACTTAACCGCCTAATATTTTATATTTCTCGAAAAAAAAAAGTACAAAATCTAAGCGAAAAAACTCACCAGCAGAACTCTGATCCTCTGGATGCGCGTTTTATACACATAGTCCTGGTGACTCTGGAGAGAACAAAATAAAAGATGATCCTTTAATCGACAAATAACTACCGAAAGTATACAATTTCTATATTCCCGCCATTACGAAAATGACTGGTTCGAACTGATAGGGATAAAGTGTAGCAATATTGTGGAAACCTAAATGGCAAATGATAAAATGACTAAAATAGCCATCAAATTTACCAGAATGTTTTGTACTTCATTCTCATCATCTTGTGATAGGCTTCAGTATCTTCAATATGCAACTTCTTTACTAAAATTGCTAATGCCATCGATACTGCTGACCTCGGTGCGTACCATATTTTTTACAATTGCTGACGCGATCTCTTTGCATGATTTTGACAACTATCATCAACTATTATGAAACGTTTTAATGCAAACATGATAATAAATGATAGTGAACCAAAGTTAAAACTATCATCAACTATCACGACTGTTTGAACAGGGCTAACATCACACTGCATTGATATCATTAGGAGGGCATTTCGCATCGCAAAAAAAAGTTTTGCCTCAAACTTTGCCTATTACCTGTATTTGGTAGTAAATAAATAAAACCACATTGGTTTCTGGAAATACGTTAAGGAATTTTTTTGAGACCTCTCAATAATCAAAGCTGCAAAAGGCCCTTGTCTGACCTCCTGCGACATCGAAAATTTTAAAAGTTGACAAGCTCGCTCCTCGTAACACATCACATGAAGCAAGAAATCGTTTGTATTCCTAAATGTTTTGATATCTAAGGAGTTTGGAAAGTATTTCAATTTTGATATTTGTTCATTCAGAGGTTCGCCATAATTTATTAAAAAACACCCGTTAGACAGCTTTCTGAAATTGGTCAAAAGTACTCTTTCTTTCTTGGATGATATTTCTCAAGTCCAGACCAGACCATTAAAAACTCCGGTTGATTTCTTCTAATAAGATGTTCGAAAGCATAGAAGTGTAAAAACATCTTGCATTTATCGATTTCCTTCGCCGTAATGACTTCAAACTTTTGGTGATTTTGCTTTCGTGACAGCAGAATTATGCAAATTAGTTTGTTGAGCAAACTCCGACCGCTCTATTGGTAGCTTCATAAATTTTTAGATTATAATCATTTTGAAAAGAAACGATAGTAGGGCAGAGCTTTTAGAACACACTGACTGACACATTTAAACATTTTAACGGGCTAAAATCTGGCAAATGATTCTGTCTCGTGACGAAAAAGGTGAACAAAACGTATCGAATATCATATTGATTAGCGTTCGGTCAACGTTTTAATAAGAAACTCTTTTGAAAAAATTGGTTTCTGTTCTTTTATATTTGACTTAAGAGAGCTTAAGCTATTCAAACCTGTATGAAAATTTAAAACCAAACACAGTATTTTATTTAGCGTAACCGGCAATAACAGCACCAGGCCACGAGCAGTCCCTCCTTTTCAGCGAAGTCCGTCGCGCAAGTCGAAAAATTCAGTGAAGAAAAGATTGATGTTAGTGCCTCACCATGTTCCTCTCGATGGCCCCCCTCTCCCCAGAAAATCAGTAGTGTATCCGAGGATGACCCTCGATAGGGCTGTTTATTTTCTACAGAGTACATTCTCCGTACATTGATATCTATTTTGTCATATTTTCCTGGTCTGCTCTTCATTTTGGACAGATGACTTTTATCATCTACAGTAGTGTCCCTTTTTCGTATTTTCAGTGAAATAGGCATCAAGCAGACTTCATATATAAGGCTGATAATTCAATACTGTAACATTTTCTTCTCAAGGCAAAAACAAATTTAAGTCGAACTCTACTTACTAGTGATATATATAGAAAATTTTTAAGCATCAGAAAAAAATAATAATACGAATTGAGATTCAAAGCTTTTTCCCAAGCTCATGATCAGAGGAGAAAACATCTTAATAATAGATTAATGAACTAATAAAATATATGAAACAAGAATGTTGTCAATCATGTCAAACTATGTTGAAGCGATTGAATTACCTAAAGAGCATTAAAAAGCGATACAAGGAAGGTAAAATACCGGTGGGGCT